CGGCACGATGTACGTGCACACCACGGCACATCACGCATGCACGCTACCGTAACGTGTACACGGCACCGCACGCACGCACGAACGGCGCGTGCTACGTAACACGCACGCACGCACACTGATTCCGTGGAGAGCGATGCTTCTGCTCGGGCGGACATGTTTAGCACACCGGCGCACGCACGCAACATGGCATAATAATCGGTAATAATCGCGTTTATCGGGTGTTGTCGTGTAGGACGCTACATAATCGCTAACTCGAGTTAAACGCTTACTCAACGAGTTAGCCTTTAACTCGAGTAAAGGTTCGTCGTGTAGACGAGGCTATAATGATCAGTCTTAAAAGTCGACGTGACTATATATGGATGACAGAAAGAGACAAACTTGATCAAATATAAAGATAAATACTGCGGATTGCAGTAGAAAAGGCTTTTACAATACTGAAAAACTTAAATAGAAATACTGTAAAAGTTAAATACATTATGAATATATCAAGGGCGTATTTTAAGAAGGGGGCCCTTCTTATATATAAAGAAGAGGGTCCTTCTTTATACGCTCTTGAATAATATCAAGAAACTAATAATTACCTCTTATTAGTAGGTATTATTAGCGCTCTTGAATATATGTCATATACCTCTGACTGTGATTCATGAATATATGTCGGATACCCCGAATACAAAAGCTAATTTTGCATGTCTTCTTATAGTCTATTAGTATTACAGGATATTAGCTATTATAGGGTTACTACGTGATAGGATCAGGAGTGAATAATAGAGATTATATAAAGAGCCCATTAACCCTTTAAGGGTTAATGGGCTCTTGATTATAATATATATATTATTCATTTATAATTAATCAGCGGGCGGATCCAGGATTTTTGGAAAGGCGGTGTCCAGGAGAAATGAAGGGCACTTTTTCCTGTTTACTATTATTCTGGTGTTTTAAAAGCTGCGCTGCCGAAGGCCACTTTGGAGGGAGTTTTGGGTAACCTCGCCGCAAGATTTAAAAAAAAAATTTGGTGCATTCCTGAGAGCCATCTTGAGCAGTAATTTGTAATGTTATGAATGCAAAAATTTTGCAGATCCGTCCCCGGGACGCCTGCGGACCCCTCACTTTTATTTTTGCCCATTTTTAATTTTTAGTACGAATTTACATATATATATAAGTAATCTATTACAGAAAAAGCTTAGCACTAAACAGATTTTTTTATGGAGACAATATACAGAGAGTGTGTGTGTGTGTGTGTGTGTGTGTGTTGTGTGTGTGTGTTGTGTGTGTGTGTGTTATGTGTGTGTGTGTGTATGTGTGTGTGTGTTGTGTGTGCTGTGTTGGTGTGTGGGTTGGTGGGTGAGTGTGGTGTGTGTGTGCGGCCGTGCGTGTGTTCTTTTTTTCTTTTTTTAGTGGTATAAAAGGGGGGTCCGGACCCCTCGACCCCGCTCTGGACGATCGGCAGCCGGATATATGCCCGAAGCGCGAACAGCGCCACCTCGTGGCGCTTTTCATCCAACTCCGCTGCCCTCTAATGTAGGAACTAACTACTCGAATCCCTCTCGGCGTACTACAGGAAAAAGCGCCGAGTAATGCGGTCATTGAGGCAGTTCTGCGCGATTGCAGCAGCCTTTTCGACCTTTTGCACGTAGCGGTCGAGAATAAATTCCATTGGTCGTGAATTGCTAATTTTTTTGGTTGGCGCGCGTTACGTTCGTCTAGAAAAGCGATTTAATGTTATTTAATTAACGCCGTGACTTTATTCTCGTAGGCATATCGCGTCCCATAGATGCGCGACGAGGCTGTCTTCGAGGGATTTTGCCCGAGAATTTTCCACACAAGGAATTGCCGATTCGCTTGACTGGCGCCGCGCGATGGACAGTTCGCACACGCTGCACTACGCACACCGCTGCACGCTTACATTACACCGCGCACACGTGCAGCGCTGTGTACGACAGTCTAATTCTCGTAGCCATCTAGGGACGCCCGCAGCGCCTCAGTGATGATGGTGTTTACACTGAGAATTCCGACTAGACGTTAGTGTTGGAAAACCACCGGCCGTATGTCTGCTATTACCCACATGCTGTGATGTTTCCGGATCATTAAACGTCATACTTCAACCATGTAGTATGATATGCAGAGCAGATGACGCATAATAATATCCATAAGCCCTCTGCCATTAGACCGTAGAGGCATACAAGCAATGCAGCATATTCCTTGTTTCGAATTCATACATTAGCCCATCGATTCTTTCCATCAATCGATATATGATGCGCAGGCCGTTGTACTGCGTGCAAGCTGTAATGGTTCTTCCATGGTGAGCGAGTCCAAAGGAACGAAAGATTTCTTTGATAGGTGACGCGAACGTTCGAATAGTCTCTTATAGTCTCCTACTATAGTAGTCGTTAAATAGTTTCACGTAACATCCTGTACTAGCATTCAATGTTCACGTGGTTCTAGCACGCTCACAAACCACAAGAACGTTCATTACGCAACATGTGTAAGCCTTGTATTAGCAACTAAGCACTAATAGCACTATAGCCATAAGCACTATAGCTGAGTTAGAATTATGGTTAACCAATCCTTTCCACATGTTCCATGGTTTGCCCTCTATCACGTTCAACAAAGTTTCTTACGATTTTCTTGTTTGCTTTCAATCTTTTTCTGTCATAAAATACCCTTTTCACACTCTTAATGTCATTGTCTAGGGTTGTGGCTAAGTACGTTTGAAATCCGCTAAAGTATGAAAATTGTATATTTAATCGTGTTGCCTTTCCGCTAATAACTTTCTTTATCTGCAAGTTCAAGCCATGTCTCTGATGTCTGTTTTATTGATGACCTGCTTAATGCTTGTACAGTGTCGTCTTGCTTCAGCGTTTTTTGTTTTCCCGCCGGCGCGCGACGCGATGTTTATTGCCGTGGCGTCCCGGGCATATTGATTAACTAGCAGCATGTGTACATACACGCTCTGTACGGACATGTGGAGCGGATACGGAGTCGTGTGATGGGTTGTAATCATTTCGCGGCGCATTCCGCCACTTTGGGGCGCCGAGGAGACGTTAACATACGCAATATAAAAATGCCATAACAGTTTAAACCAGTCGCGCGGTGGTTCGTTTCTCAGATCGCCGTTGCTCTAACACACTTGAAGAAATCATCATTAACACCATTCAGAATAGCACAGAACTGTACATTCATTCTTGGCCATCCCAGATTAAGACTACGAGAAGACACGCCGAGACAAAACAGAACCAGCGAGGAGGAGTACACACAGGGGGGTGGGGCGACTCACTACTACAACACAAACCAGACAGCGCGTGCGCCGGGAGAGAGAGAGCGGCCGAGAGACACACACAGAGATAGAGACGGGCGAACACATACGGACAAAGCGCATGAAAGAGCGCACAGAGAGACAGAAGCGATACAGCGACAGAGGCAGAAGAGAGGGGGGCGAGAGAATACGACGGACAGAGGGAGATAGAGAGGCAAGAGAGAGATACAATACAGCCCAGCAGACACAGAGAGAGACAGAGGAAGGGGGAACAGCAGGGAGAGAGGGAAGGACAGCGACAGAGAGAGCAAAAGAAGAGACGGCGCAAAGCGAGAAAGGGGCGAGAAAGAGACAGAGGAAAAATGCAAGAACAAAATAAGGATACTGGAGTAGAGAGAGAGAGAGAGAGAGAGAGCAGAGAGAGAGAGAGAGAGAGAGAGAGAGAGAGAGAGAGTAGAGAGAGAAGGGAAGGAGAGGGGAGAGAGAGAGAGAGAGAGAGAGAGAGAGAGAGAGAGAGAGAGGAGGAGAGAGAAGAGAGAGAGGCGTGCGAGTGACAGAGCATCATAGCTGCCGAACAGAGAACAGCGAGACAGGCACACCGATAAACGAAGCACGAGACACGCAGACAGAGGAAGAGATAGAGGGCGAGCATACGAGAAAGCGACAACACCTCGTCACAATATATATAATATAATATAGAGGAGAGAGACGAGAGAGAGAGAGAGAGAGAGAAGAGAGAGAGAGACAATGCAGAGAGATCACACAGGGAGACACTCCGGAAGACAGAGCAGAAACGGCGTCGGCTTTATGGACCGGCGAGAGCAACAGTTGCAAACAACTGTTGCCCTTTTCAGTGCTTCGTAATACAATATAACATGTCGCAGTGACAGTAAACATTCGAGGCCGTTTGCTTAATATGATGGTATACGAGCTGTCGGAATATCTTTGCAAATGACTTACAATTCTAATTGGCTAGCACAACACCTCAATGGACCGTGAGCCCTTTTCATTCTATTGCCCCTAAATCGTCGACTTTCGCTGGCAGCTATGGATTCCGTGCGCCCGCTATGCATTCGCGCACGGGATGCCATAGCTGCAGCGTGCATTAGTCAGCGCCGGAACGTTCCCGGTCGCGTGTGCCTTGCCGCGGAACTGCGCGCAAGCATCTGCGCTTATAGCCACTGCGCAGCAAGAACCACTCCCTGCAGCTACAGCACGCACACATAAATCTATCATATATATCATATATATTATATAGTATAAAAGTCAAGGAGTTATATATAGACAAAGGCCGTGTGTGTGCTGTAAGCGTGCAGGCGGAGTGGTTCTTGCTGCCAGTGCTTATAGCGCTTGGCATCAACACCTCCTTTCGGCAACGCTTTCTAGTATCCCGATCTCATCTGGATCCGCCCCTGATTATATATATATTATATTATTATTCACTCCTGATAGGCTATCTATGCGTGAATTATCCTTATAATAGCCGTTGGTCGGCGCTAGTACTGCGCACGAACCGTCCTTCTATCGCAGACGGTAACTATGCGCCAAACGCTTTGCCTGCGCCTGCGCTGGAGTGCAAACACTTTACAAACTGCATGCAGCGCCCTTTCGTACACTCAGGATACCCACTGATCTCTATTATACTAACTTAGTTAATATTAATAGTTAATAGTTAATTAACCAAGTTAGTATAATTGAGATCAGTGGGATACCCAGATTCAGATACAGGATCAGTAGATTGAGCCCAGTGGGCGAGAAGCGCCATCTGTCGGGCTGTGCGAGTTTGCCTGCGAGCGGTAATTTTAAAAACAAAATGGAGGACATCGTCCAAAGTAGTGTGGAAAGGTAAGTAAAAATGTATTGGATTTTTATCGAATTCTGGTCTGTAATTTAGGAACACGTTGTCTATTATATTACAACGAAGTACGGATGGTCTGGATGCGTTAACAAAAATGTGTATGTGGTTGCCTGTGAGAGTGGGGATTAGATTAGAAACATGCATTATTATAATTATAAGTTATAACTTATAACTTATAAGCTTATATTACAATTATACTATATTATTATTACGGAGCTTAGAAGCTTAGTTGAGGCTCATAGGGTCCTAATGTCCCCAGGGTACTGGCGGAACGTACCCTGGGTACGGTCCGCCTTACACCGGAAAGCTACCCTGGTACTATTTGATAATGGCTTAGGGTTAGGGAGTAGGCGCTAAAGGCGACTCCCTGGACTCGTTAGTGGAGTAGGCGAGGTACGGCCATCGGCATTATTAGATAGGGCGCCAAATGTCCACTTTAGGCACCTAGGTATCACGACAGTGATCGCAGCAGATTATGTGTATCATCAAACTGAATGCACAAGACTCCGTATTATCAAGGCAGGGTTCTACGCCCAGGATGAAATTTCAACAAGCAGGTGGGAGGGGTAGGGGGGTTCCGGGGTGCGTGTTTTTTTAAGCCGTACACTAATTAATGCGTAAAATCGTCACACACACTAGACAGTATTTGCGGGTTCTTGTGTATATAAGCATAGCACAAGTCGGCTGTACAAGTGTAGTGTCTCGGTGTGGGACAGGTTGACTGTTTGTAGTTGTGTATTTCTGCAGTGGCATGCGTTGCCACGGTAAAATACATGCGCCGGGCCCGGTCCTGGTCGAATGAGGGAAGTTTGAGATCGATTCCCTCGCTGGCAAACTTTTATTTTGGTGGATTTAAACGGGGGCAACGATTTGAAACAGGGGGGAGTTTTCCCAAACGGGCGCGCGCGCCCCGTATTGCGCAACGATACGGGAGAGAACCCTGCAGAAATGGAATGCCAAAAAACCCTAACCCTAACCCTAAGTCATAAAGCTATAACCTTACTCTTATGGTATCACGAAGTTGGTGTTAGGGTTAGGGTTGGTGTTAGGGTTAGGGTTTTTGCATCTTTCCTTGATATACAGAAAGTCTGTGCATCAGTTGATGATACACAGAAATTTGTGCATCACTTCGTGATTCCTAAGGTGCCTAAAGTGGATTTGCACCGTACGTTCCGGCAGTACCCCGGTGGACATAGACCCTCTCAGCCCTAGTGAGTACGTAGTGTCTAAACGACCGGACCAGGTTTCGGAGGGTGTGAATAAAACCCGGACTCGGACCCAGAAAACCTGCATAAAAGCCGGTCCCGGACCCTGGACCCGGACCCGGAAAACCTGCATAAAACCCGGACCCGGATCCGGAAAACCTGCATAGCGATTCCTCAAGGCCACGCGTGACGCGGCGGCTTTTGATGTACACGATCGATCTATCGCGTACTATATGCGGCTTGCGTAGCACGCGCGGCACACATCACATACACACACACTGCAGCGTCAAATAAACGCGTGATTAAAACCCGGACCCGAATAATAATAATAATAAGGACTGATATATAATGGGTCCGGACTGGTACTAAATGGATCCGGACTGGTACTAAATGGATCCGGACTGGTACAAGGTATAGATTGGGACAGAGTCAGTAAAAACTGAAAATAATATGAACGCACATTCACAAATAGGCCCTACTACCGTACCTCTCTGTTACAGTTCCCCTTCCCCTCCCCCTCCCCCTCCCATCGGATTCGGATTCGGATTCAAAATTGTCGTCGGATTCGGAGTCGGATTTTCAAAAATGCTTTCGGATTCGGATTGCGTGCGTGTACACGTGTGTGTGTGCTTGCGTGCGTGTGTATGTAGGTACACGTGCGTGCGTGTGCACGTACACGTTTGTGCATTCGTGCGTGCGTGCGTGTGTGCGTGCGTGTGGGCGTGTGGTTGTACACGTACGTGCATGCGTGCGTGCGTGTGTGCGTGCGTGTGAACGTGCGTGCGTGCATGCATGCGTATGTTTATGCGTGCGTGCGTGTGCAGTAGTGTTGTAATTTCGTAATCGATCATCGGTTGGACCCAAGTAACCGATGATCGGTTACAATTGGTTACTCAGGGTGTTGAATGCCTGCGTGTGCGTAACGTCGTGTGCATGTACGTGTGTGCATGTATGTGCTTGTTTAGCCCTGTTTACTGTTTGTTTTACTCTGTTTACTACTGTGTGAATAATACATGTCAGGGGTAGAATTTAACTTTTGAGACCACTCGCAATTTTTTGCGAGTGGGTCAAATTTCAACTCGCAAAATCCGAAACACTCGTATTTTTATATATGTTATCTTTTTAGTTACTTTATAAATGTTATATAATGTTGAGACGACTTTATTAAACCAGGCTACAAAGCGAGAAAATAGAATACTCTCGTTAGCAGCCAATCGCGCGAGGTTTATAATCCTTACTCAGTTTGTAGACAGTACTGCACGTAACGTGTCCGAGCACACGCGCCCACGACGCATGCACACACGGGGCACGCTACGAATGCACGTACGTGTACGACCGCACAGCGCCCTCCACGCGGGACGTCTGGCCACGCCACACAGCACGCACACAGCGCACGCACGCATGCACGCACGGTGTACCTACATACGCCACGTGTACGTGCACACGCAACGCAATCCGAATCCGACAGCATTTTTGAAATCTACTCCGAATTCCGAACGCCGACGACAATTTTGATCCGAATCCGAATCCGATTCTTTAAAAAATTGTAAATCCGATCTGAATCCGAATCCGATCGGATTCGATCGGATTCGGATTTATCGGATCCGACGCACAGTACTGTCCGGAATCATTCTGCATCAGTCCGAACCCATGCTGTATCAGTGCGGACCCATCCCAACCAGTCCGGACACAATCTACATAAGTTCGGCACGCCATTCTACAACCAGTCCGACACATTTCTACATAAGTCCGGACCCATTCTACACCCAGTCCGGACCCATTCTACACAGTCCGGACCCATTCTACACCAGTCCGGAGACTCCGACTCATTATTTACCAGCCCGGACCCATTCTGTATCAGTCCGGACCCATTCTATACCTGTCCGGACTCATTATGTACCAGTCCGGACCCATTCTGTATCAGTCCGGCCCATGCTGTATCAGTCCGGACCCATTCTACTCCAGTCCGGCACTTATTATGTACCAGTCCGGACTAGTGGCTGTGCGTCGGATGTGACATGAACCAAAAATCCGATCCGACAGCATTTTTGAAAATCCGAATCCGAATCCGAATCCAATGGCTATTTTGAATAAGATCCGAATCCGAATCCGTGGCAATTTTTGAATCCGAATCCGAATCCGAATGATGCAGGCTTTAATTTTAAGGGCGCGATCGCGCTCGCGCTCCACCGCGCACCCGAAATTGTGCCATGGTGCGCGCATCATCGCGCCTCATAAAAGTGGTTGAAATTGCGCACCAAAGAGTATGTCTATAGCGCTCCATCTAGTTCTCATGTAAGGGGTCACAAAAGGTTGCAACAACACAACAATTTGTGGTGTGTAAGTGACTGAAGCGTATGGCCAGAGGTACAGGTCTCGGTTACTACCCTCTGGTTTATATATATATATATAAATACAACTAAACAAACAGCATCCAAATTACAGACCTGTAACCGCCCTATACGGTAGCCACAAGTTACCCGCTCGTTTTCTACTATACCGTGGTGAGAAGTGGTTTCTGCCGACGTGAAACAGTCAGTAGGGCTGGAGGGGCTACATACGTGGCTACTACGTACAAGTAATTGTGTCTAGTTTTGTTGTGGATTGGTGGATGATATTTTGTACAGGAAATATGCAGGTACATGGATTAGAATCTCTAAGGATGGAAATCAGAATAAATAAAACAAGTTTATTTTTACATCCGATCACTCTTTTTATAATCTGTGTGCTAGTGTTGGGTTGTGTTGGATAAAAAGAATGTAATCCTGACGAAGCATTGAATGAATGAAGGTGAAGATGAATGATAATCAGTAGATTGACATGAACATCCCAATTTTCGTTTTGGATTTCACTCTAGACCGAGGATTGGTCATGATTCCATCATCACACCCAAGAGGCATGATGGAGAGCCCTCAAGGAGCTTCCATCAATCCCTTTTAGGTGTGATTTTTTAGTGAGGCTCTCCATCATGCCTCTTAAGGGTGGTGATTATGGAGCGTGAAAAGTCCCGCCTATGGTGTCCTAGGGGATGCAATTAGTAGTCCTCCTGTACTTTTCAAATCTGAAAGCCTGCCGATGTGTATCGCTAAATCCGATCCAAAACCGTCCCGAATCCGGAACATAGAAATTGGCAAATAGTGGTGACTGCATCGTGTAAAATTTGTGTTATAATTTGTTCAACATCAACACTTTGAGTTGTTGAGATCAAGGGATGGGGTGAAGGGGAGTGTAGACCGTAAGAAAAGTTAGAGAAGGGATGATCGGGAATCTGGAACGATAATTTTCTTATCAAATCTGAATAAACTAATAGTTAATAACAACAAGTGCCGGCAGGCGACAGCGCTCATCTAACGTCTACTGCGGTGACTCTGTGGTGGAGTGTGGGATTCTAGTAAACCCTGCTAGTCCCAATGTGTTCACATACACGCCGAAACAGTCGGAATGCACAGGGATGTATCAGGAACCTTCTCAAAAGAATGTTCGTTGGATCCGTTATGAAAGTTGCCACGAGATGGCGCGTACGTTTAAGTGTCTTCAGATTAAAGATGGAAGCTCCCATCATACGTAGTAGCAACAACTATTTGCAAGACAGAATAGGTAAGCACTCATCCATTTACCTACGCGAAGCCTACAGCTGGCAATGGCAATAGAGAGCTGCCACCTGTAACCAATTAAGGCAGGCAAAAACGCACCAACACATGCACTGGCAGGCAGCCACTGGCAGTGGCATACGTTACATGTAACATACTGACAGTACAGAATGACATAGAAATTATACGAAT